GTAGTTATTCAGTATAGGGTGTACAAAAAAGTTCTTTACAGGAGATTATTGAGTGATCCATATTCTCCTCTTGTGGACTAGAACATAACAGGCCTTTGGCCGCTCAATACAACTCTGCTGGATGACTATATACACATGCAATTGTGGCAGAAAAGAAAGACCTTTTCACTACTACCACTGCCGCAGAGTAGGCCTTCCAATGGGCTCTATCCTGTGTTCAGTCAACCTGCTTCATGTTCCCCACCATGATCTTTCTAGCTTCTGTCCCACTCATTTCACCATGGCATGCTGCCTTGTCACAAAGGGGATTAGTTTGGCTCCACTGTCTATGAGGAGATGTTTAGGAGCAATTGTGTTCACTATCCTCCTCACTATGCCATTCAGAGGTTAACCACGACTTTAGCAAGGTTGCCTGGCAAGACAATGGGAATCTACACAAGGGCTGCAAGGAACCTATTCAGATTCATCCTTCTAGGGTGAACTGTCTTAATTAGTCCCCCACCCTTATGGATGCTCAAAGTTCCAGTCTAAACCCCACATGGTAGTGATCTGTCTATTCCCATGAAACTTACAGAATGCTCCTCCATACCCATATCACCCGTTTTGTCCAACCCCAAAACATCGGCCAAGAGTGTGCCCTTACATGAGTGGGATCAGATATTGCTTGGGACAGGATCATGGAGGGCATGAAGTCCTGAGTCACTCCAGACAAAGTAGATGTTGAAGTCCTCCAATGTGACAAGCCTCTAGCATCACTCTTGTGATCAATCTGGCTAGCTCAGGAAGGGAGAATGTTGTGCAGCAGAGCGGTGGTACACCAGCAGGATCTGTTTTCAGTCCGGGGCCTCCAGCTTCAGGTATCAACACTCAAATCTGAGATGGGGGATCTGGTTAAGGGCTGGGGTGGAATCTCGATATGTCACTGTACTTTGCTTCTCCGCCACCCAGATATGGCCTACTGCTGCATCATAAAATTTTACCTTAATTAATAATCTCTTATTTCAGCTTAGTTGCTTGTTTAGCTAACTTGATAATTAATAGACAATTTCCACTAGGGCATATAATAGCAGTGCAAGAGGTCTACATGTAAGAACCAAAGACTACAATAACCTAACAAGTTACCAGCTACTAGACCAGAGGCATTTCTTATGTGAATTAAGGGGTCATTGGGGACAGGTGAACTTGCAAAAGATTAAACCCAGCTTTCAGTAAGGTGAATCACTGTTTCTCTCTTTCTCCTCCCTTGGCATTTATGTAGTGCTTCAGGGCATTCACAATTTACATACTTTGTATATTCTGTTGATCTGGGAATGCAGAGTTGGAAACAAGGCAGTCTAGTCTTTGCCACTGATCAAGGGCAACATCATGGCAAGAGAGATAACAGCCTAGAACTATGCTCAACAAAAGAAGGAGAATCTGCAGGGAGATTGCTTCCCTGCTGTCTGCCAGAGACCACCAATCTCCAGCTGTATGTAACCCTGGAAAACAGAGAGCAAATAGTAAACACATTGTGGCCTCATCCATAGACCGAGGCCATAAGGGTTTGTGAATATTTTGTGTTGGACAGCCTCCATGTTTGTTGTAAGTAGCTTGGGGATCCTTTCCTTGAAAAGTGGGATATAAATCTTTCAAATGAGTACATAATTTAGGAAACTTTACAGCAACTCTATAAATAATGACATATCTTTAAGGTTGAGGGGGGGATTTAGCACTGAGACTAAAAGGGAGAGAGTAGTTCCCCTCTTGAATTTGTGACTGAGATTTCAGTCTACAACTTCTTGTTTCTAGGTTAACATGCAGGCCTCTACAGATTTATTCAGAAGGAGTTCACTGAGTTTGAATGGGTCATTCATTCATTCATTCATTCATTCATTCATTCACTT